GCAATTTGTACAACACTATGGTAATAGTGCATTGTGCCGGTTTTTATTGTGAACTGAAACTGAACATAATTAATTGGCCTATTTGGTGCGGTTAATTAAATTATCATTTATATTAAAATTATATTTAATATGTTATTAATATTATTTATTAAATGTATATTATTTTTTGGTTGAAAAAAAAAATTGAGTTTGTCGGTTTTGTTCTATACTGCGTCACCGTTAGTTTGTGATAAAGTGCAGTGTGTTATTTTATAAAGTGCAACGAGTTGTTTTATATAGTGCTACATGCTGATGTATAAAGTGCACTACTAGAATTTAATATGTTATTAAATTTATTTATTAATTGTATATTATTTTTGGTCGAAAAAAAAAAAGAGTTTGGCCGGTTTTGTTCTATACCCCGTGACCATTAATTTGTGATAAAGTGCATGTTTTATAAAGTGCAACGAGTTGTTTTATATGGTGCAACATGCTGATGCATAAAGTGCACTACTATAATTTTGTTACGTTAGCATACTTTTTTTTAATATATAGACGAAATGATAGATGTTAAAATATTATGTATCTTTATTTTTAGATTTATGTTGTGTGGTATATATATTGTCGTTTACTGTTGAATATTGCGATAAAGTATAGGTCGTTGTTTTATAAAGTGCAATATGTTATTTTACAAAGTGCAACATGATTTATTATAAAGTGCAATATAATTTAATATAAATTGCACTATATTATATGATCCCATATAAATTGTGGTTGATAAAAAACTAGTATTTGTAAATGATTTGTACATCTAATTAACCAACTAGTTGAAATATGATATTATCTATTTATTTATTCAATAATTTATTTATTATTTTATTTTATTATTACACTATTTTAATAACTTATATAATTTTAATATCTTAAATGATTTTTTTAATATTTTATTTATTATGCAATATATATGTATAAAAATAAATATAAAAAAATTATTTTTATTAACTTTCAATAATTACATATTTGGCTTGTGAGTTAAATTGGAATATAAATAAAATTTGTAAAATTACATTTAGGTCCTTGAACCTTTTCTAATTAAAAAAAAATGCCCAATTGCATTTAGGTTTTAGGGATCGGGAAATGGTTAGTCTCTTCCAGACGCGGTTCTCCAGCCAATTGGACTCATCCGTAGAGAGTATTGTTGACCGTCTGCACCAATTGCATCAAGAGCATCTTGTTCGGGTTGGTGGAAGGTATAACTGGTTGCGAATGGAATTCGCCGGAGTTAGGCGGCGACGACAATTGGGTGTCTCTGTGTCTATTGTGTCGAGGTTGGCCGCGAATGGAAGCTTTCCGGAGACGAATTGAGATGGACGACGAAGAAACTGAGACGATGAATAAATCGACCGAAAATTGTAGAGGAGGTGCGGCAGAGACAGTGGCACGGCGACGGGCTGAGGCGTGACAGAGACGGAATCATGTTGGCGGTGACGGCAACGACGACATCGTGAGGACGGAGGCCGAGAAGGAGATATGCCGGTGCCGGCGAGAATGTCACGGAGGCGCCGCCTCATTTTCTGTGTGTATGTGTGTGTCGGTGGTGTGGGTGTGTGTAATTGAGAAAGAGAGAGAGAGAGAGAGAGAGAGAGAGAGAGAGAGAGAGAGAGAGAGAGAGAGAGAGATAATTGTGTAAGAGAGAGAGAGGTGTGTTGGGGTGGGTAGTTGGGGTAGGTGGCAGGATTACTTAATTTGGAGTGAGGTCCATTTGTTTGAATGTAGTGTAGAAAATTACTTCAATACCCTTAATGGATGTATGATTTTGGCTTTATTTTAGCCATTAGATCATTCGATCTAATGACTACAATTTATTCTCATTTCTTTCATAGAGAACCATTCTCATGTGAACTCAACTCTATATGTGTATGTATATATATATATATATATATATATATATATACACATATATATATTCCATTGCAAATAGAGCTGGAAGAGTCATTGTTGACAATTCTCCTGGCATAGTTCTAATAATAGACTAGATCAAAATGACTCAATTAAACTCTAGTGCTTATTCTATTAGTGAAGTTTCTAGAAAAAAAATATATCAAACGACGCAATGCACATTGAGTCGCTACGGAAACAACCTCCTTGTAAAATTACAAGGGTAAGGTCTGCGTACAACTGACCCCTCAGACCCCAACCAGTTGGAATATATTGGGTATGTTGATGTTGATATTAATGTTGATGTTGATGTTGATAATATATATATATATATATATATAATTAAAAAATATAAAAAAATATCTAAACAATTAATTTAAAGTATCTAAAATATATAAGGCGTTGTCTCACGCTAAAACTTTTGAGTAGTGAAGATTTAGATAGTTGTGTATTGAAATTTAAATCAAACATGTGACTTAAAAAATACAATAAAATTTTGAATTAGATAAATGCATCCCAAAGTTTTTAAATCAGATTAATGTATCATAAAATTTTGGACAATCATGGGAACTGGAGAACATATGTGTATTGATTGAATCAGATTTTCAAATATACATTGTGAATTAAAAAATGGGATCCCGGTTTTTCTTATTTTTAAGTGTAGGGAATCAATAACTAAATATTTTGGCTATTCATTTTATCAGTCCGAAAATCTTTACAAAAATTTCCAAAAATATTATGTTTGAAATGTTGTCCGAAAATTGTAATAACTATTTTTGATAAATGTTAATCTCTTTATATATATATATATTAAAAAAAAATAAAAAGTCATGGGCAATTATAGTAAGCTTGGGGCCAGGGGTGGCTTATTTATTTAAAAAAAAAAATAAGTAGAAAAAAATAAAAAATAAAATGGGTGGAAAAAAAAATCAAACACACGTATTCTGGGAATACGTTTTTCTAATTAAAATTAATTAAGATACGTTTTTCTTTTTTTCCTAAATTAAAAAAATAAACACAAAATTCCTTTAATATTCAAATATAAAAAAAATAATAAATATCAAACGTATTGTGGAAATACGTTTTACGGTAAACGTATTTCCACAATACGTTTTTAAATACCGAAAAACGTTTTTAAAAATACGTTTAAACTGACATTAACCGTATTCTGGGAATACGTTTTTTGACTAAAAAAAACTGTCGGTAACCGTATTCTCGGAATACGTTTTTTGAATTAAATATAAAAAAAAATCTTCCATTTCATTTGCGCAGAGAGCAGAGAGACGAGAGAGCAGCCAAGCGAAAAGAAAAAGAAGCAAAAACAATCGGAAAAAAAAACTCGATCCAATTCTCATCCCGGTGTGAACCGACAACAACGACACGAGACTCCTTTCCGGTTAATTCATTCGCACGAGGTATATTGGCTTATCTTAACTTTTTACAATGTTTGGAGTTGTTTGGAGATTGAGAATTGTTATAATATGTTTGAATGTGTTAGTGTTTGAAGATTGTAAATTACTAATTGATTATCGATTATGTATGTATGTTAAATTCGAGATTGGAATTTTGTGTATAAATTATCAATTTTGTATTGTTTGGTTGTTGTTGGGGTTAGGGTTTTTGGAAATTAGGGCTTTCAATTTATCCGAATTATAGATAAATTTGATGTTATTGTTCGATATTTTTTTTTTGGTTGGAGTAATAAAATGTGTTTTAATATTTAGACATTATTTTGTTGTAATTTGTAAAATATAATTTTTTTTGTGCAACAGGTTATAAATGGCGTCTACCGGTCCCTACATTGTTAATGTGTACTGGAAAATTCCTAAGAGTGAGTTAGGAAATTTTTCGAATTATTTGGCTAGTCCGGATTGTTCATTTGTTCTTAATAGAATAATATCATATGAACAATTGGTAGATATGATTTACGAAAATGGTGGATTTCGTGATAGTTGGACAATTTCGGATATTACTTTGATGGTCAAACAACCGGATGGTTCGTTTCTTCCCGCAAGACTGAATAATGATAGTACTCTTTCGTGGATTTACTACTATCCTCCTATGTCCTTTGTGTTTTTGTATATTGTGTTGGAAGCAAACACACAGGTTACACATGTTGAGGATCCTACGCCATCATATGGTTATGGGGGAATGTTTGGTTGTGAGGGTACGTGGAGTACGCATGCCGGTAATTTTGGTGAAGGGACGAGTAATTTTGGCGAAGGGACGAGTAATTTCGGCGAAGGGACGAGCTTTACCATGAGAGGACCGGACATTGAGGAAGAAATTGTTGGAGATGAAGATTTCAGTCCCGGTGAAGGCGATTTAACTGATGAGACCTCGGAAACCGAATCAGACAGATCAATTAATGAGGAAAGCGAACAAGAATTCATTGAAGAACACCCCTTTCCAAAGGAAGGCCTCCACGTATATCGCAGCGAGATGGGTGAGTGGGACCCGTCGTGTGTAGACAGGGACGAGTATGCCTTGCCACTCTGGAATGGGCATGTCGAGACTATCCGTTTGGGTACAGTTTTTCGTACCAAGGAAGAAGCTCAGACTGGTGTTATGGCATGGAATGTTAAGAATCTTAGGGCGGTCCAGACAAAAGATTCCAACAAGAAGTCGTTCAAAGTTGTGTGCAGATCAGCTGAAGGTGTACCATGTATGTGGAAGGCTCGGGTGAGTCTTAATCCACGGGTGCACGACATGTAGGAGGTAACCGAATGGACCGACAGGCACACTTGCATGCAGGTGGTCGAGAGAAATGACCACAAGAATGTGACGGCCACCATGATCCCAAATCTTCTGTTGCCTAAGATTCAGAAGCAGGTGACCTACAGTGTGGAAATGGTCCAGGCCGACGTAAAAAGTGCCTGGAGCGTCGATGTGAGCTACAAGAAGGCGTGGCACGGGAGAAAAAAAGCCATTGATCGTCTGTATGGCACGTGGGAATCGAACTTCGCACAACTCCCCCAGTAAGCAAAAATTAATTACCAATGTATTTACGTGTTTGTAACTATATTTATTTATTTATTTATTCATTTATTTATGTATTTATGGGTACTTTTTATAATTTTCAGGTTTTTTGCTGCCCTTCAAAGGGCGAATCCCGGCACAGTCGTTGAGTGGGAATGGCAGGATGGGGAAATGGCTCGTCGTTCTCGAGACAGAGAATTCAAATTTGTCTTCTGGGCATTCGGGCCCGCCATTCGAACCTTCCATCTTTGCCCGCCGATTATTAGCATCGACAGCACGCACCTGCGAGGTTCGTACAAGGGGAATGTACTTGTTAATTGCAAATGTATTTTCTATTTTATAACATACAATAGTGTCTGATAAAAAAAACATATGTCCAACTGAGCAAGTTCGTACAAGGGGAAGCTGCTTGTTACCATAGCACAGACTATAGCACAGACTGCGAATAAGCGTCTATTGTCAGTCGCGTATGCGATTGTGGACGAAGAAAGCACGGCTAGCTGGTCCTTTTTCCTAACACATCTGCGCAATCATGTCCTCTCCGACAGGCAGATATGTCTTCTTTCCGACAGGGACAACGACATATTGAGTGCCGTTGATTTACTGGAAGCTTGGCACGAACCCCATGCATTTCATCGGATATGCCTTCGACACCTCCGGAGCAACGTGGTTTCAAGGTATCGGAGTAAGAAAGTTCGGGTTCTGTGCTGGAGGTTGGGTTCATTGTGTTCTCGTCGCAAATTTGAGCATGCTCGACAGCAACTGCAGGAATGTCACCCGAAAGCATACAGTTACCTTTTCCAAATTCCTTTGGCAAAGTGGACCCTGTACAAGGATAACAGACGTCGATGGGGCACTCTGACAACCAATATGTCAGAGAGTTACAACAATGTCCTCAAAGGTGTTAGGTTCCTGCCCTGCAGAGCATTAGTACAACAGACAATGGACAAGACTCTGGATTTGTTCCAACAGGAACAAAAAAAGTCCAGAAGCTGTCGGAGTCAAATTCCTACCCACCTCTATGCAGCCTATCTGGAGTTGGAGAGGACATCGGCGAATCACAAGGTGGAATGTGTGGACACCGACGGATCCCAGTACACGGTCATAACTGGTCTACACGCCAATGGAAGGGGGCAAAACAAGTATGTATTTTTTATTATTATTTTTTTTTCCATTGAAATGATTTTTTTTTTTTTGTGTGTGTTTGTTTATTTATATATATAAATAATTGTGGAAAACAGGTTTAAGGTTCATTATGAGCAGAACAAGTGTGCATGTCGGAAGTGGCAGACATATCGGAAACCATGCACTCATGCATTAGCCGTGTGTCGTTACCGGGCTGATGAACCGAAGTTGTTGTACGATTCCTACTTTTGGACGACGAACTGGGTTGATCAATTTTCTAATTGGAATTTTTCTCCAATTGGAAATCCTGACACGTGGCCGCAGGTGGGATGGAATTTGATTCCGCATTGGCAAAGGATCATCTCGAAGCCTGGACCCGGTCGCGCCCAAACGAGACGCTTTAAAATGCAATGGATCGTCGGGCGCGCCGCAGAAGGGGCCGGGATCAATGCAGTAGATGTGGTGATCCCGAACATTTTGCGGACCATTGCCCGTATTCGCATCCTCATGTGGATCGAACTCGACTCCGTGACGGTTGGGGGAACTAGTTGTTTTGTATGTATATTGACTGATATGGTTTTTTTTAGATTAATATTTTTGTATTCGAATGACTTATATAATGAAATTGAATAGTTATTGTAATTTTTATTTGTTAGTGTGAATTTGATTTAGTTGGTTGTTTTAAAAATGTAATCGGGACGAATAATTGATCAAAAATGTGATTTTTGTTTCGTGATTTCTACACGGGTCGTGTGACAAAAGTCACACGGGTCGTGTGATATTATCACACTGGTCGTGTGACACAAAACAAAATTATGATTTTTTTTGGCTTTTTCACACGAGTCGTGTGATATAGTCACACGGGTCGTGTGGTGTGACACTAGTCGTGTGATTTGATCACACGGGTCAATTTTTTTTTATTTTTTTCCCAGTTTAAAACGTATTCCGGGAATACGTTTTAGCCTTATTTAAATGTAAAACGTATTTTCGAAATACGTTTTAAACTGGGAAAAAAAAATGTTTTCTGCAGTTTTTACACGACTCGAATTAGTACAATTGAAGTCAATTTCGTACAATTGAAGTAAATTTCGTACAATTGAAGTCACTTTCGTACAATTGAAGTCAAATTAGTACAATTGAAGTCAAATTAGTACAACTGAAGTCAATTTCGTACAATTGAAGTCAAATTAGTACAATTGAAGTCAAATTAGTACAATTGAAGTCAATTTCTGATACGGATCCAACCCTCGGAAGAGGTTTCTACCAACCAAGCCAAATTCTTCAGCAGGATAATCAGGTGTCCAATTCTAGAAGACTTGAGTATGAAATTCGTAGCCGGTATTTTCACGCTGCGCAAGTAACTGTCCGACTGCAAAGCAACTTCGTACAATTGAAGTCAATTTCGTACAACTGAAGTCAAATCAATACAACTGAAGTCAATTTCGTACAATTGAAGTCAAACTAGTACAATTGAAGTCACTTTCGTACAATTGAAGTCAATTTCGTACAATTGAAGTCAACTCAGTACAACTGAAGTCAATTTCGTATAATTGAAGTCAAATTAGTACAATTGAAGTCACTTTCGTACAATTGAAGTCAAATCAGTACAATTGAAGTCGAATTACTACAATTGAAGTCAAATCAGTACAATTGAAGTCAAATTAGTACAATTGAAGTCAATTTCGTACAATTGAAGTCAATTTCGTACAATTGAAGTCAAATCAGTATAATTGAAGTCAAATTAGTACAATTGAAGTCAATTTCGTACAATTGAAGTCACTTTCGTACAATTAAGTCAATTTCGTACAATTGAAGTCAAATTCGTACAATTGAAGTCAAATCAGTACAATTGAAGTCAAATCAGTACAATTGAAGTCACTTTCGTACAATTGAAGTCAAATCAGTACAATTGAAGTCAAATTAGTACAATTGAAGTCAATTTCTTACAATTGAAGTCAATTTCTGATACGGATCCAACCCTCGGAAGTGGTTTCTACCAACCAAGCCAAATTCTTCAGCAGGATAATCAGGTGTCCAATTCTAGAAGACTTGAGTATGAAATTCGTAGCCGGTATTTTCACGCTGCGCAAGTAACTGTCCAACTGCAAAGCAACTTCGTACAATTGAAGTCAATTTCGTACAATTGAAGTCAATTCAGTACAACTGAAGTCAATTTCGTACAATTGAAGTCAAATTAGAACAATTGAAGTCACTTTCGTACAATTGAAGTCAAATCAGTACAATTGAAGTCAAATTAGTACAATTGAAGTCAAATCAGTACAATTAAAGTCAAATTAGTACAATTGAAGTCAATTTCGTACAATTGAAGTCA